GAACCCGTGTACGAGGTCACCCTACCAAACACCTATTCATAGGAGAACTCATTAGGAGGACCCTAACATCAAGTGTGTTTCAGCGATAAAAATAGGGTTATATTTAACCACTGGTACCTCAGGTTCTATAGCTGTAAAATGGATATATATCCTCTCACCTATTTCATAACACTTCACTAAGTAAAAAAATGAATAGTCACTGTGAGATTTTAAACAATTTGCACATGCAATATGCTGAAGCTATCACCCCTAATGAAAACTACTAACTGTAGAGCTTGGGGGTCTGTTTTAAAAAGCCATTAAGGGCCTGACGAGTGGCTCAGTTGATTAAGAGCTCACTCAAGAGTTTAAACTCTGAGCAACAGCGGTTCGATGCCTGGCCCGAGCTGAGCAGCCGCTGAGCTGCCAACAGGTGGCAGGATAGCTCAGCTTAAAAAAAAAAAAGCCATTAAGAAGTCCAGAAATATACGAAATTCTAGAGTAGTCATGAATAAAAGCTGTCTATTTTACATATACATACACATATATATTGCACATCATTATTATTTTTACCATATGAAAGGTTCCTTTTCAAATATCATGGTTCTCTTTTTTCTTACAACCTTTTACATAATTTAAAGAATTAAGATTTTCAAAAATATATGTATCTTTCAAAAAAAATCACACACGGACTGCTGAAAAATACTGAAACACATACATTAAGCTATTTTAAATACAGAAAATTCATTTAGAATCTTGATTTAGAACTAATAAAAGCAATAATCTCCTATGGAATTCTTTGTATGAAACAGAAGAGTGATTTCAGCAATGTTACTGTGGGTGTTTGTACTCGTACAATTCAACATCACAGTAGTAACAGTAATGATATATATTAATGTGGTTAGATCATCTACCACACTGGGAGTGTCTGGGGTTCAATAACAACCACTATTGAAACATATCGTAACTCACTCAAATAAGTGTTAATTCAGTTGTAGCAAGCATTAATAACCTGAAACCATGGTCCTTGAAGTAAGAGGCATTACAATATGTTTCATGTGTATCCTATCATCGACAGCTATTATTACGATAACCTCTCAATAGAAACTCAGAAGTGCTTAACTAATTACCATATTTATTTGTACTGATTTGAATCAGAAATATGTACTTGGAGGAATTAAGGTTGGAAGGGAAGAGAAATAAAAATGCTATGTCAAGACTTTAGCATTATTGGCAGATTTTTCGGAGTTCTTTTAATGTTCTAGTATTTTAATAATTCAAAGATGTGAAACATAATATTAACTCCACAAAAATACTCAGTAAGATGGATACTATAATAATGGTAATCATAACATTTATTGAGTATTTACTATATATCAGCATGGTAAGGACTTATGTACAGAAACAAGGACATACAATTCCTTCTCTGTAAGAAGCTCATTCTAACGACCTCCAGATGTATGGTAGAATTCTGCGCGTGAACTTACACAGCACTATCTGACTCTATTTTACTTTATCTTGGGATCTCCTTTTATTAAGGGGATCATTTAAAGGACCTCTTAAGGCCCTTTCCATGTCTGATACAATGTCAATACTAACTAACCCTCAGATTTCATGGATGATTTCTCAGCCAACTGTCTAATATTCCAAAGAGAGGAAAATCTGTCATAAGGAACATGCTTCATAAAGCAATAGTTCCCATGCCTAATACAGGATGAGAGCCACGAACTGCTGAAAAATAATGATTCCCAAACTACAAACCAGATTACCAAATCAGGATCCCCAGAACTGAGACCTAGAAATCTGAATTTAAAAAAAAAAACTCACAGGTAGGCCTGATGAGCAGCCAGGTTTAGGAACCACTCCCAGAAAAAAGATCAAATTTGAAAATCTAGACACAGTGGTTTTAAGATTCTCAGAGTTTATTTTATGGAACTGATGAGCTGATATAATACTGTATAGTTCATTCTGAATGTGGAAGAAATTACATACGAATAGGGCTTCCAATAAATACATCTACTGGCTGGTTTATTCATAGGGCTTTTTATATAGCACTGTAAAAAATGTTTCTAACTAAAAAGTAATATACTTGTGAAAATCTGTCATTCTATTTGAAGTCATCTTCATGGCTGTTTAATAGATTAAAATGTCTTTGTGAAAATCTCTGAGGAAGCGTTATTTTGAAAAAATAATTTTATCAAATTATTCACAAAACCTACTAATTAATTTCTGGAGAAATATGTTTTCCCTTTGGCAATCTCACATATTTTAGAACTAAAAGGAATCTTCTGAACAAGCCAATCCCATGACTGCTGGGTGAGGGAACAGAGGCCCAAGAATGTCTAAGGAATTCACGGAAGGTCACACAGCTGCTTAGAGCAGAGCCTGGACGAGATCCCAACTCTTCTACAAATTGTTTCTCCTTAAATAGACAATAAAAAGATGAAGATGTTTACAGAAAGGTCTACAGCTCCTAGATTAAGAAGCTGAATTTATCTCTGTGGATTATGATCTGATTGTTGTTGTTTCTACACACTTACTTTCTAATTTGTCTACCAAAAATATGTACTAACTGATAATATAAGTTTAAACAAATAAAATCTTACCGTTTCATTTGGTGCTCCATGACGATCAAACTGGTAAAATGATGCTACATGAGCAATAATCCACCAGCTGAAACCTAATGGATCCCTGGGCTGGATTATAGGCACAGACGGTCTTCTCTGGTCACTCGATGTTTCAAAGAGTGGTTTAAGTAGTTTATTCAACCAGTTCCAAAACGCCTATAGAAACAGAGATAATATGATTCAACTAAATTAAGACATTGATCCAATAACCTTTGATTTAGGCTTTTTCCTCCAGCTTTGTAATACACACAAAAGAGAATACAAAATATCCAAAACTTAAAGAATAATAAAAACACCCAGGTTAAACAATAAAAACAATAAATCTTGAGAATCACTCCATTATCAGTTCAGAAATCTTCCTTATTCTATTGTACAAATGCATAATACTCCATGGTTTGTTTAACCACTCTCCTGCGTATGGGCATTTAGGCAGTTTCTAATGTTATGCTCTTATAAACAATGCTGTAATAAACAGCCTGATGGTGATGCATGTGTACTGTTGAATTGTTGTGGGTATATACGGAGGGTAAACTGGAAGTGGGATTGGTAGGGTCAAGGTTATAAAAAACCCTCAGCTCATACTTTTTGAATCTTTTTGAAGGGGAGGGGCAATGGTAAGTTTTTACTTTACAGAAAACTTTTGTAACATTCTGTATGTAATGCTTAAAGGTGGCAACATGTATGTGTATATATATACACATCACATGTTTGTGGCAGCTAAAATATAATGTATACAGTTCAAAAATTCTATTATGTTGCAGGTGGTATGGCATAGGTATCTGCTGTGTCATTCATGGCACTTCGGAAATGTGAGAGTGCACATAAAATATATGTAGGCCTGTTTCTTCAAAAGGAGTAAATTATTTCAGCTATTCCTTCATTTTCTTTTTCTAACTTTCTTAAACATGCACTTTCTTACATAATCATGTGGTAGAAAAAAAACATGGGCTGTGGCATCAAATAACTGCATTTGAAACCAAGTTTCACATATTCTGACTCTGTTATTTGAACAGTTTACTTAACCTCACACTCATTCTACTTTCTGGCATATAAGAAATATCACTTGAGGAATATTAATTAGCTTTGCTTCTCCTCTGGGAAATTGAATTGAAGTCTAACTGAAGTCTACTAGATAATGAGTGTTGGTATTTTTTTAGGAAAATACTCATACAGATAATATGCAGTATTAGCTACATGTTTAGAATATTTTCTGTGACAGGAATATGTCCTTGATCAAATTAGTTTATGTTCATTTTTGGAGTTCCCACATAATTTTAGGTGCGTGTGAATTCCCAAACATTCCTGAGCCTTCCTCAGCTTCTCTAATTGCTTCTTATCCTATCCCCCTGGGAAGCAACATCCTGGTACCTTCACAAAGGTCAGCAGTAGCCCACACAACATTTGAAAATAACTTATTAACCCTGAACTGCCTCACCCCTTTGGACAATTTCCTTAGACTATTAGTCCTGTAAACACTGACCTGGCTGCAGAATATGTCTTTTTCTCAGTGGAAAAACTTTAAATCCCATTCAGTCTTCCCCTCCCTCATTCCAGGGATAGGGTGGGGGCGACCAGGGGTTAGGGAGAAGGAATTCAATATTTCTTTCTGGAAGAATGTTAGTGTGCTCACATACACATTTCTTTGTAAAAAATAAATTGTGTGCATTGTATAAATCAGTATTGTTACGTTACAAATTTTTAAAATCCTTATACGAGATAGGAAAAAAAAGCCATCTCTGCTCTCCGCAGTATGGAAAGCTCCTAAGGCCAGGTCCTACATGAGGCTTAGCCTGCCCTTAGCATTCTGTGATAGCATTAACTCCCAAGTAAATGAAACAGAGGCTGCCCAGCTCTTCCTGAAACTTTCAATTGCTTTTTATGGTTTTCTTTCTCAGCTTGTCCACATCCATCTTGGTCCCCAAGGCCACTGCAGATAGTGCAAAGAATAATTTTTAACTTGCTCCTCTGTTGTTTTAGGAGGACTTTTTGTTGTTTTGTTTCCTTTAGGTTTGGTCACTTTTTCTTAGGCTTGAGCTTTTTATTAAGGAAGTATTGCATAGTTACAGTCCCTTATGATCTCCATAAAGTAAAAGGTGGGCCCTAAATTGCTTTCCTCTAAGCTGGGGGTTAGTTCTATTCTGCCATATTGGTTAATTCATTCAGTTTTAGTGGCTGGAAGTCCAAGATCAGGGTGTCAGCATGGTCAGAGGAGGGTCCTCCTTCCAGACGGCAGACTTCTTTCTGGCTGTGTCTTCCAAGGAGGAAGTCTTTTTGAGTCATTTTAAATGATACACTGTTGCCCTGTTTTTATGTTGTTTTTGAGAAGTCTAGTGCAGGTCAAATTATTTTGCTCTTGTAAGTTATTTGGTCTTTTTGCCTGGAGGATTTGAAAACTTCCTACAGGGCTTAAAGGATTTTCTGTATGTTTGAGGTCAAAGAGTTTTAGAAGACTATGTCTCAGGATGGATTATTGGGAGTTAGTCTTTCCAGTTATCCAGAAGGCCCTTTCAAAATAACAATTTAGGTCTTCTTTTATTTCTGGAATGTTTTCTTGGATAACAGTTTTGAATGTTAGTTATATCCCATTGTTTTGTTTTCTTCTTTTGAGACTCCATTTAAAATAATGTTATTTCTTTGCCTATCTTCCATTTCAAATATTTTTTCTCTACCCCTTTATATTCCTTTACTTGATTTTTATTACCCTGGTTACCTTTCTTACCCTTATTAAATTTCCATTTGAGTTCATTCTCCTTGGGCACCTTGTAATTCAGTCAATTCTAAAATGATTTTTATTTCCATTTCTCTCCGGCATTCAGTTTACTCTTTTTATTCATTCCTGGCTTTTGGTGTATTTATTTTAACATTGGAATATCTTAGTCAAGGTGTTCTGTTTTGGGGTTTTTTGTTTGTTTGTTTGTTTTTTTAGCTGAGCCATCCTGACACCTGTTGACAGCTCAGTGGCTGCTCAGCTCGGGCCGAGACTCGAACCGCTGTTGCTCAGAGCTCAAACTCTTGAGCGAGCTCTTAACCAACTGAGCCACTCGGCCAGCCCCTTGGGGGGGGGGGTTTACAACCCCAAATGCTTGTCTGTTTAATTCAGTCTGGAGTGTTGTCTTACAATTTTCTTCTGCTTTGTACTTATTTCTGAGGAGAGGGTATCATGAGCTAAAATATATCAATTCTGTTTTCTTGAAGTAACTTTAAGAAGACTTGCTTAGTTTCCGTCTTTTCATTTTATAGATTTAGGCTACTTTAAGATTCCTAGTTCTGTGGAGCTCTCTTTTCTCAATGTACAAAAGTCCCAATTTTTTACTGGATTTCTTTTTTTTTTTTTGGTGGAGGTGGTGGTTAGCCAAAACCACTGCATAAATTCACTATAATTAATAACAATTACTAACATATCAATGTTAACAACTTACTTCGGAGAGAGACCATTTACTTCTGTGGTCTAGAAGATGAATGAGTAGAACCCACAATTCTTTAAAGCATGGACATGGGCAATGGTGACTCATTAATGCTTCAGAAGGTCTAACCTGTACAAAAGAACCAAAATGAGTTACTTATGATAGAGCAGAATTTTACATGCCATACCTCTTCCCAAATAGTTTAAAAGAACGATTTGGATAACTTAAAATTTATGTTCAGTTACATAAAATTGTTTATAAAAAAATGTACATTTCATTAACTTGTAAAACCTCCCATTTTAAAACCAAAAGCACAGATAAATTTTATTTTCAACCTTAAAAAAAAACTCTGCTTTAATCATCTAGTTCAATGGTCAGCAAGCTTTCTGTAGCTAGATAATAAATATTTGCGGCTTTGTTCATGATACAGTCTCTACACAACTACTCAACTCTGCCATTGCTGTGTAACATCAGCCATAGATAGTAAGTAAAAAAAGGTTGGCACTGTGTTCCAGTAAAGTTTTATTTACAAAAACAGGTGGTGTGTTAGGTTTAGCCTCAGGGCCATGGTTTCCTAACCTTGACCTAATCCATCAGCCACAATAAAAAGATTTCTAATAAAAAGATTAGAAAATAAATTCTGACTCACTGTAAAGCAGACTAAAAATTTTTACAAGCCAGAATAAAAAGATTAGGAGTATGTAAAGGCTAAGCAATTTTACTATTTTTAAAACAAATATATCCTTAATGGCCCTAAATAATGAAGACAATGTGGTTCATATTTGCAAACACAGCTAAACTTCTGAAATTCAAAATGCATACATTATTTCACATATATTACATATACATTTCTATTTTTTTATTTTTCAGTTATAGTTGACATTCAATATTACTATTTTATTTGCATTAGTTGGAAGAAATGATAACCTATAAATTTCCATTACTTGAAAATCAAAGTGTACCTTTAAATCTTTGCATTACACACTCTATATAAACACAATTTAGTAAAAACAAGTAATTTCCTCCACGATGCTAGGTGTTTTATGAAAACAAGCAAACAAAACCAACCTTTAAATTTGTCAACTAATTTAGTTAATTACTTATCTTTTTCATTATGCAACAGCAACACAACACATTATTACAGGGCTGGCCTTTCCTATTTGAACAGAAGTTAGATTTCCAGTCATTATATTAAACATCCTGTTTTTATTCATTTATTTTTCACAACATAAAAAAACATTTAAAAAGAAAAAGCTCTAAAACACAATTCCCAGCCTGTTTTAAAAGTTTAAATTAAATTATTTTCTGATTCAACTCCCAGAAAATAGTAAATATAAAACTGAAAGAATTGGGCTGGCCGAGTGGCGCGATGGTTAAGAACTGGTTTGGGACACCAGAGGGCCCCGGTTCGGATCCCACATATGAGGGCCAGTGACACTGCCCTCCACAGCTAATATGCTGAACAACAGCTCAACCTGGAGCTGGGCTGCCCTGAGTCGCCTGCGACGGCGTAGGCTGCAGGCCCGTGGCAGTGGGTTGCCATGGCCACTGTGTGTACCCAGCAGCCAGCGTGAGCGGCCAGCAGCCGCAGTGAGCAGCCGTCCAGAAGCCGGCGACTGATCTGCCTCGCCAGGGAAGAGCGCAATGATGGTGCCAACTTGGGCCAGTGAAGCAACATCCTCCACAACTAGACTGAAGAACAAAACGACAGCAACTTGTCTGTTCCCCTTCCCCCAATTCCCCAGCACTGTTCCCATCCCCCCAATTCCCCAATAAAAATCTTAAAAAAAAACAAAAAAACTGAAAGAATTAACCAGAATTTAGATTAAATTCTTACAGCTTAAACCACATGCATTAAGGACTATTGCCACTAAGTACCAAAACTAAAAATAAACTTTAAAGCATTACCTTGTCATACCTGTTGAGTGACAGGTGTATTAAATCACAAAGGAGATTTTCACAATGTTCTTCAAATAGGCTGACATTGGTTAAACTGTCACCTGCCAGATTCATAAACTGATGACCATACACAACTTGTTCTAAAAATGTAATAAAATTAATTTTATTTAAAACTACAGTCGATTTTACTAATTTAGAAGGAACAAAGTGACTATACACCTTTAAATTAACTTAAAACTAACATATATAGTTAAAAGCAAATTTTTTTCGCAAATGTAAGTTAAATTTTAGGGCAAATCCTGCTTTATATGAGCTCCGATAAACATCACCTAAAAAAAAAAGTCAATCCTTCCAAGTACTATTTAATAGATTTCTCTTTTCTTACATCTCTGAAAAGCAACAAAGCAACATCACTGAAAAGGAAAAAATAAGAGGGTAAACACTAGAAAATCTTCACCCATATTTCTAACCAATAAAGCCTTTTAAACATTATTCTTTTAACAAATAATGATAAATTAACCATGTGCAATTCTTTTCAGGTGTGAAATAGAGCAAAACGAGGTAACAGATACCAAAATCTGTATCTATATCAGTTAGCCCATTTGAGAGAAAATTATATATTTGTGTACATCTTTGTATGTTTGTGTGTATGTATATAAAAAGCGTACACACATATATATAGACATATATGTACTGTATTTCCCCATGTTTAAGGCGCACCCTTTTTCAAAAAATTTGGGGTCTAAAAACTGGGTGTGTCTTATACAGTGGTTGTAGTTTTTTTTTACTTGCATTTCCTGCAAGTGATGAGGCGTTGTATGAATTTTATGATGAATAAAACTTGAGTTCAGGGCTGGCCAAGTGGCACGTTGGTTAAGAGCTGGTTTGGGACGCCAGAGGGTCCCG